AAAAATGCTCAAGAACCAACTTCTCAATTATCATCAACAAAAACCACGTTGAAACTCCAATACCCATGATAAATTCAAAGATTTTGCTTTATTTACGCCTTGTTTGGATAGAAAATAGTAAAGGGAAGGGAAGGGAGGGGGATGGGGGAAAATGAAAGGAAATGGAGGGGAAGGAAAAGAAAGGGAAGGGAAGAAAATGGAAGGAAATGATTTGTATTAATGTTGTTTGGATAAATAAAAATGAGGAAGGGGAAGGGAAGGGAAGGATTGTATTATTTTATGTTTGGATAATTAAGATAAAAGGAAGGGAAGGAAGGGAAAGCTTTAAATTAATTATAAATTTACAAATTTACCCTTTAAGTTTATAATGAGGTTGCCTATCCATTTTTGCTTGATGCCAATTTGTTCAATTCATTAAATCACTTCATTATCCACCGAAACCAAGCACAAGAGAAGTCCAGTACCTTACCATATGTTTTTTTGGGTCATAATATGATTTTGGATTTAAAAACTGATAAATGCAAATTAAAAGAAAAAAATTATTGATTAAAAAAACATAAAATTAAAAATTTTACAAATAAATATTAAATGAAACAATAAGTAAAAAATGATTCTAAAAATAAAAAGCAAATAATTTTATTACAATATAGTTTCAATCATACCAATAAACAATAAAATAAAATAACTAATAAAAATCAAACCCTAAAAAATTATTCAAACATAAATTCCAATTGATGAAAATTAAATTAGTCAAATTTAAAAAATAAAGCTACGGATTGTGCCCAAGAACTTGATGATTAAGAAGTACCAAAAACAACCCTCATAACAATATCTAGGCGTCTCCCAGGTGGACATCCTAGTACTGCTCTTAATTTATTTGGATGCTCAAGCAGATATAAATAAGCAGTGGTAATTTGATCTGAGTTAAGTCCCAAATCCTCCAACATATTCCAAACTTCAGCCTCTGAAAGTGGAGGACGTGAATTCCCTTCAGACAGAGCTCGAGCTACATTGTTGATAGCTTCTTGAATGCCCATTGCTTCATTTTCAATTTCTTGTGACTTCTTTATTTTTTTCGATTTTGAGCTAGTTGGCACATTTGAAGGACCGCCAAGACATGTTAAAGGATCAAAATCAATATCATTAGTTCCAAAACCATCCAAAGATACCTGATTCTGTGACACCATATGATCAATTTCCTCAATGGTATTTTGAGGCTCATTATCATGTTGGGATGATTGCTTTTTCTTTAATTCTTTTGCAGTCTCTGACTTTTCACCTGTAGCTCGATCATTTCCAAATAGTATCACAAATGTATCATAATGCAACACTGGTTTTGTCATCCACTCTTTAGCATTATCATTAACCTACAAATCATCAACATTTTAAAATAAAAGTAAATAATTTAAGTCAAGCAAAATCATAACAAAGAAATTTAAATTAAAATTGTACCTTTATTAATGCATCCCAAACTTCAAGCTCAGCACTCCATAGCTTGGTAACAGGGCTCCATGAAAAACCACTAAGGTTTTTGAATAAATCATGGGATTTTGAAAGGTTCGCCTTTAAAGTTTTCATGCGATTTTTAACTTTATCTTTGTCAACCTCCTTCCCAAGTTTTTCTTTCAATTCATTAACAATATTTTCATATGCTTTGGTGGTAAAGGAACCATTTACCCTATTGCCCAAATTATGTTGATGTAGGAAAGCATCCATAAGAGCCTCATCCATTATAGGTGTCCATACTAATTTGCCTTCTTCACTTGCATTTTCAATATTACTATTTTTCTTCTTTCCACCCATACCTAAATAAAAGAAGTTATTAGATAACTTTATTCAATAAAACTTTATAATAAAGAACATTTATTATTTATAACATTTAAAAAATAAAAAGTAAATAATTCAAAAACAAAAATATTAATTCAAGTCAAAAGAACAAAAAAAATTACAAAAAGAAAAATCTAAAAAACCAAAAAGTAAACTAGCAATTTTTGTAATTGTGCCACATATCAGCAGCAATAACATCTCTCAACATTTCCCCCCT